ATACAATAGTAGAATAAACAACTCTGCTTCCTTAAGCTGATCCTCATATTACACAATTTCCCAAGTCTCTTCCTACTCTAGGAAAAGAGGGAAGGAGGAAGGAATTTTAACTTGAGGTGTGAAGAAGGAAACAACCAGGTCATTAGAAGAGGGAATATGGAAAAAAAAAAAAGTCTAAGACAAGTAAAGAGGACAATTCGGAGCAGTGGCTTCTAACCCTAGGCACAATCCAATCCCTATAATCCTACCTGCCACACAGTGAATATTTTCTGAAGCAGAATATTCTAATCCTAGTACTGGCTCCACCATTTGCCTCGGGCAAACTACTTTCTAAGCCTCAATTTCCTCACCCATAAAACAGAGATAGTATCTATTACTATCTACTTCATTATATTGTTGTGAAGACAATCACACAGAAATTCTAAAGTACAATAAATTTAACCAGCTTTTCAGGAAGTTCCATATTTAAGCATCCTGGAGGAAGGAGGGAAGAAAAGAAACAAGCATTTATTAAGTGCCTACTATGTGCCAGGAACAGTGCTAAGGTGCTTTTCATTAGATCTACACAACAACCCTAGAAGGTAGATGCTGTCATGGTCTACATTTTACAGCTGAGGAAATGTGGGCAAACAGAGGTTAAGTGGATTGCCCAGAATCACACAGTGCCTCACGGTAGATCTGAATTCAAATCTTCCTGACTTCAGGCCCTACTGTATCACCTAGCTGCCTCAAGAGAGATGATAATCTTTCCATCTTATTACTGGGAATTCCCCTGCATCCAAATTCAAGGGTCACAAAAATCAAAGTTTGGAAGTTGGTGGCCAGGCCTCAGTGACCATCTAGTCCAACCCACAAAGCAAAAGAATTACTATATATAACACACCTAACAAGTGGTCATCTCGCTTCTGCTTGAAGACCTACCTAGGAAAGAGAATCCCCAGCAGCCTTTGAAACAGCCCATTCTACTTTGGGACATCTCTAATTGTTAGGACTCTCTCATCAGAACCCATTTGGGAAGATGAGTATGGAGAGACCAGTCAAGTTGGGAAGGGACATAGACAATTCTCTTGCCCTTCATTCTTGACCCTCCCCAGGACCTACGGCTGTTTCTGAACCCATCTATGACTGCTAGGAGTGGGAAGCCCCACCACCACTCAGGATCCTGGATGAGATGAGGGTCACCATAACAACACCATTCTTTCTGATGGGATAGTGGACCACTTTTAGGCATTCCTTGCTGTCAGCCCTGCAGCTAAGCTTTCTTTCATGTGCTGCATACCCCAGTGAGGTCCATGAAAGTAGAGACAGTCTTGCTTTTTTTTCTTTGTATCTTCAGTCTTAGCACAATGTCTGGCATATTGTAAATGCTTAATAAATGCCTACTGATGGAAAGATTTAGAGTACAGGCCCTGAAACGGACTGTGGGTCTGTCATCTGAGGATCAGTTTAGCTAAATTACAAGAATCTCACCGTGGATTTTTGGCCACTCATGAAGGCCACTTACTTGGGAGAGTTAGGGAGAGATGATGACCTATACTTCTGGGTTGAGAACCAACACAAAATCATGAATCCATTGAAAAAATAAGACACTGCAGAATACATCCCTTTCCTTAAGCATCTTATATTCTAATTGAAGGAGAATTAGAAAAAAGTATACAAGTAACTATGATACAGGAAGATATAACCACAAGGGGAATGTCCAGGCAAAGGAGGATTAGAAATTTGGGGAGGGAGGGTTCACTTTGAACTTTGGGGCCATGGAAAGCTTCCTGGAGGAGATGACACCTTGGCTAGAAGAAAAGAAAGAAATTTCAATAGGAAGAAAAGGTGGGAGCCCATTCAAGGGACAGAGGGAGGGGAAGAGAAGAGGGAAGGAGGAGGCTGATAAAAATAAGACATGATACATGGAAATGAGAAGAATAGGGGATGTAGTATGGTCCAGTTTGGCTAGAAGGCAGTCTATGTGATAGAGAGCATCATGAGAAGGCTCGTAATATGGGTTAGGAATGGACTGAAGAGGGTCTTGACTGCCAGGAGTATTCTGTAGAAAACGAAGAGTTGATGATTCTTTGAAGCAAAAAAGAAACAATAAGAACTGTGCTTGGGAACGATTTCTCAGGCCAGAGTGTAAAAAATGGAGTGAAAATAGGACCGGAGGCAGCCAGGTAGAGTGCTGGATCTGGAGGCTGGACAACCTGAGTCTTAATCCTGCCTCAGATATTTACCATCACTCATCCTCAGTTTCCTCATCTGTAAAATGGGGTTAATAATAAGGCCTACCCCACTTGGGGTTGTTGCAAGATAAGATAGCAAATGTGACGTGCTTTTGCAAGCTTTAAAGTGCTCTATAAATGTTAACTAGTGTAACCATCATTACTTTACTAGCTGGGTTGGTGTGAGTAGCAAAGAGTAAATTGGTAATAAAGAACATGAGAAAACTGAGAAGAGAAAGGTCCTATTATCTGCAAATTATCCAGATTTGCATCTTATTGCTTCCATCTCAGAGGTGGTGAAGGTTTTATTTACTGCTCCCTGGGAAAGTTCATGGAACCCAAAGATAACGACGAGAAATGCAGTGGAGAGGGAGAGACGAAATTAGGGGAAATAGAGGGGGGAGTAAGCATGTGGGAGGAAGGCAGGAAAGGACAATTCATCATCCTGTGAGGAAGCTGGCCAATGCAAATGATTATTTCCAAAGCTTATAGAGTGACTAAAGGTTTATAAGTTACACGATGAACAGGATCTCATTTAATCCTCAGAGCGGCCCTGTTGGTAGTATGATTATTATTAGCCCAGAGGAAACTGAGGGTTGGAGGTGAGGTGACTTAAGGGTCAGCATGCAGGACATGATGGTCAGAGAGGCTAGTCCTGCGGTCAGGAAGACCCTAGTTCAAATCCTGCCTCAGACATGTACTAGGGTAAGTGACTTCATTTCTCTCAGTCTCAGTTTCCTCATCTATAAAATGAGGATAATAATGACACCTACCCTGATAGGGTTTTTGTGAGGCAAGGGGGTTAAGTGACTTGCCCAGGGTCACACAGCTAGTAAGTGTTATATGTCTGAAGCTGGATCTGAACCCAGGTTCTCCTGAATCCAGGGCCGGTGCTCTATCCACTGCACCACCTAGCTGTCCCCTTTGAAAGTTCACAAAGTGCTTTATGCATATTATCTCACTTGATATAAGAGAGCAAATGCCCAACAAGTGAGTGACAAAGATAGGCATTCGGGGGAAAGAAGGGTAACTTCAGATAATCATAGAGTCTCAAAGTTTGAAGGGGACTCAGAGGTCCATCAGTCCAGCAAGAACCCAGAGAAATCCACTCAACAACTTGTCCAGCAAATGAAATAGTCAGGAAAATTCCATCTAAACACGTCCAGTTAATGGTGACCTCAGTGCCTGCCAAGACCACTCACTCTACTTTGGAACAACTCTGAACTGTTCTCAGATTTTCTCTTAAATCATGCCAAAACCTGCCTCTACAATTTCTACAATTTTGATTTCTAACACTTTTCTCTGGGATCAAACAGAACAAGACTGATCCTAATTCCTCTTGCATCTTCAAACACTTAATAATAACAGCTAACATTTATGTAGTACTTGCTATGTGCCAGGTTCTGTGCTTTACAATTTACACTTTACAATTTATGATTTCGTTTCATCCTCACCAACAACCCTGGGAGGTAGCGGCAATCATTATCCCCATTTCACAGATGAGGAAACTGAGGCAAACGGGTTAATAAGTGACCTTCCCACAGTTACACAGCTAGTAAGTCTGAGTTTGAACTCAGGTCTGAGTTGAGGCCCAGCGTTCTCTCCACTGTGCCACCTGACTGCCTTGTTTATATGCCCATCTTTCCCTTGCTCCTCCAGTAAAATCTCTTCTCCCAACTAATCAATACAATCTATTTCCTTTGGCCAATCCTAAATGGCCATGGTTTCTAGTCCCTCTCTTCCAAATGAAATCTAATTCCTCAATGTCCAATGTCCTTTCTAAAATGTGATGCCTTGGGGGCAGCTAGGTGGCGCAGTGGATAGAGCACTGGCCCTGGAGTTAGGAGGACCTGAGTTCAAATCTGACCGTAGACACTTGACACTTACTAGATGTGTGACCCTGGGCAAGTCACTTAACCCCACTGCCTAGCCAAAAAAACCAACCAAACAAATAGCAATAAAATGTGATGCCTATAGAGTAACAGAATGCTTTAATGGGGGGTGGGGGGGGGTCAGAGATGGTTTCCCACCAATACTAGCTGTGTGATCATGGACAAATTCTATGGACCCAATTCCTCATCTGTAAAATGAGGATGATGATAATACCAGAAAGATCTATCTCACAGGGCTTTTGTAAGGCTCAAATGAAATAACCTATTTGAAGTGCTAAGCAAACCTTAAAGCCTTATATAAAAGTCAGTTATTATTATTTTAAGAAGCAAAGGGCTCAACTTGGGATTAGAGAGAGATCTGTGTTCGAATTCTGACTCAGATATTCATTAGTTATGTGAGCATAGCCCATTCACGTCACTTAATAAGATAATTAATGAGACTAATAACTCATTTCACTTAATAAAGTAATGAGAATAATTCATTTAACTTAATAAGATAATACTGATAATTCACTTAATATACTAAAATTGGTAATGAGAATAATAACTCATTTCTCTTAATAATAAGAGAATTACATGGGAATAATTAATTTCATTTAATAAAATAATCATTTCACTTAAGATAATAAGAATAATAATTCACTTCACTTAATTATAAGAATAACTATTAACACTTACACTTCATAGGGTTGCTTTTGAGGACCGAATAAGATAGGTGTGTAAAAGTGCTTTGCAAACCTTGTTATTAGCAAAATCAACTTTTGTTACAATCGCAGAAGGTGATGTTGCAAGGGGAAGCTCTCTGAGGCAGACCCTCCCTTTTCTCAAACCTCTCCAGACCCCCGACAAGCTCCATCTACCCTCAGAGCTTTCTCGGGGGTCTCCAGATCCTTACCTGTCCCCCAGCTCCTTGTGTTCCATTTCCAGATTCTTGTGCAGGGTCTTCAGACAGCTGTGCTGATGTATGAGCATCTCGTACTCCGTGGACTGCCGCTCGTGCAGGGAGCTCAGGTGCTCGTGGTCCTGAAGCAGTGACTCATAAGCCGTCATCATCTGCTCCTTCTGCTTCAGCAGGCTTTCATTCTCATTCTCCTTCACCACCTGCTGGTTTTGGAGCAAAGTGTACTGGGCCGTGAGAGAAGAATTCTGAGAGCTCAGGGTCGAGTTCTCCACCTTCAGAGAAAGAAAAACACGGCACCTTGCTCTCAGATGAGAAGACACTGGATGGCAGGATTATCCATTCACACCCACTGAGATGGACTGAAACACTACAGCCAGACTCCTTAATCCCTGCAGTCAAGATTGAGGGACATTAAATCCTGGTCCTAACAAGGTGCTTCTCCAAGGAAACCTTGTAATACCTACCCCACCTCCTAATAAGCTAGACTGAAGAGCTGAATTCACTCTCAAGGCAACCTCCACAAAGGCACAGTTCTCATTGTTACGGAAGTTTTTCTTATATTTTACATTATCTGACTCTCTGTAACTCCTACTAATAACTGTTCTCAGTTCTGGCCTAGGGAAGGACCAATCAGAAAAGTCTAATCCTTCTTCCATAAGATAGTCTTTCAAATATACGAAGATAATTTTATGATCACTCCCACCCACCCATCCAATATAGTCTCTTTTCTAGGCTAAAAATCCTCAATTCCTTCAAATCACCCTCCTATCACCTGTGTTTGAAGCTCTGCATTATAAGACTGTTTCTTGCAGCTTATCAAATGTCCTCTTAAATTTGCGGCCTAGAATACACTATCCCAGACATGTTCTGATCAGGACAGATTATACCAAGACTATCAGTGTGGCATGGTGGGAAGAACACTGACTTTGGAGAAGGAAGATGTGGGTTCAGTTGTCCCCTCCTGACAAAGCCTGTGTGATCCCAGATAAGTAACTTCATCTCTCTGGGCCTCAGTTTCCTCATCTGTAAAAGGACAGCGTTGGACTGGCTGGTAAGAAGACATTAGCTTTTTCTGGCTGCTATCACCCTAACAGCTCATATCAAGCTTACAATCAAATAAAATTCTCAGACTTCTTTTTCTATGTGAACTGTTCTCTAGTCAATATTTCTCATCTTGTACCTGTGAAGCTGGCTTTTTTAACCCAACTGTAAGACTTCATAGTCATCCTTATTATATTATCTTACTGGATTTGGCCCATTGGTCCAGAATGTCAACATTTTTTTTGTATCCTGACTCTGTCACCTAATATTTTACAAATCATTCCTAACTTCTATGTTATCTGAAAATCTGAAAGCAAAGCATCTATGCCTTTATAAAAGACACCATAATAGCAGGATCAGAGGCACAGCTGCGGGGCACGCCGCTGCAGAGCTCCTTCCCAGCTGATCTTTATCTATTAATAACTAACTTCTCTTTTGTTCTGGCCATTCTACTAGTCCCAGGATTGGAAGGCATCTGGGAGATCACAAGATTTACTGGAAAGAGAAAGGACCTAGGAATCATCTAATTCACTGAGAACCCACTGAGGGGCTCAGTGAGGTAAAAACTGTTTTCATAACAATACTAAAACGTTTTAATTTCTAGTACGGTAAATACCAATGGCAGCAGCTCGGTGGCACTGTGGATAAAGCACTGCGCTTGGAATCAGAAGACTCATCTTCCTGAGTTCAAATCTGGCCTCAGACACTTACTAGCTGTGTGACCCTGGGCAAGTCATTTAACCCTATTGGCCTCAGCTTCCTCATCTATAAAATGAGCTGGAGATTGAAATGGCAAACCACTCTAGTATCTTTGCCAAGAAAACCTCAAATGGGGTCACAAAGAATCAGACACAACCGAAAAATGACTGAACAACATCATCAAATAGTAATAGATATAACCCATATAGACAAAGTAATTGATGGAAAGGGGGTTTCAATAATTTTTAAGAGTGAAAAGAGGGTCATGAGACCAAAAAGTGTGAGAATCAGTGATAGTCCACCCTCTTTATTTTATCAGTAAGGCCCAACTGAAGCCCAGAGTGGTTAAGGGACTTGATTCAAGGTCACACAGGTAAGACAATTGGGACTAGAACTCAGGGCTCTTGATTTTCCACCTTCCTATACAACCTCTGCCTAAAAATGATGATCACAACAGCTACATTTATAAAATGCCTAATATGTGCCAGACACGGCTAAGTGCTTTACAAATATTATCTCATTTGATTCTTACAACAACCCTGGCAGTCAGGTGATATTATTATCATCCCCATTTTACAGATCAGGAAACTGAGGAAGAGAGAAGCTAAGTGACTTGCCCAGGATCACACAGATAGTGAGTGTCTGAAGCTAGATTTGAACTCAGATCTTCCTGACTCCATGCCCAACGCTCTACCCCCCATACCACACTACCAGCTGTCTTTGCCCATCATAACTGGTCTTCTGACACTGACTTTTGAGTGAATAACCCCTGCTCTAGCAACGCCTCTGGGCCACTGACCTGCAGCTGAGCGGTCTGAGTCTGCAGGACCGTGTTGTGCTCCTGGAGGAAGGCGCTTTGCTTCTGAAGCGTCAAGACCTGGTTACTGAAGGCCGTGTTCTGTGTCTCCAAATGCTTGAGCTGTTCCTTGAGCAGCTGCTTCTCGGCATGAAGGGCCGCGTTCTAGAGCAGAGGCACAAACCCCACCACACGAACCATCATTAGTGAGATCATTAGAGAACAGGATCCTAGGGGAAATGCTAACTGATCACGAGCATCGTCTGAACAACGAAATTTCCAGTAACACACGCTTAGTCCTAAGGCAGACTGAAGAGGTAACATCAGGAGGCTGCTGCAGGTTCACTCTGGAACACCTGCAACTCATAGAATGACAGTAACAATGATAATACAAGGAGAAGGAAAGTAGAGGAGGGAGAGGAAGAAGGGAAGAGGAGGAGGAGAAGAAGAAGAAAATAACGTTAAAAGTAACTTCCAGAAGGCAAAACCAGGCCAGAAACGTTAGTTTTGTGCTTCTGGTGTGCTTTCTGGTGTGCTTTCTGGTATTGAAATCCCTGCCAGGCACTTGGGATGAGCGTCCAATGAAAGGCAGAAGAGGGACTAGAAGGTCTTTCATGGGAGTGAAGAAAGGAAATCACATCTGGGGATGGGAGCCGAGCAGCCACTGGAGAAAGGAACTGGGGCTTACGTCCAGAAAGACTTACATTCCTTTCCAACTCTATGGCCCTGTCCTTGACTTTCAACAGCTCCGCTGTGGCGTCACGGTGGCCAGTCTCCCAGTTCTCTTTCACCTGGTGGTTGAGGACTACTTTCCCCACTGGATGCTTACAAGAGTTCTGTAACTGTTTCCCTTCTTCCTGGCTCTGCCTGAGTACTTCATATTCTCTCTTCATCTGGAGGGGTTGTAAGCAAAAATGAACTTTAGAAAATATATTTTTCATGACTGTACATGTATGACCTTTATCAAATTACTCTCAATGAGATGGGAGTCTGGGAGGGAGGGAACTTGAAACTCAAAACTAAAAAATGAAGTTTAAAAAATGTTTCACATGTACTTGGGGAAAATATAATTTAAAATAAGAAAGAAAAAGAAAGAAAGAAAGAAAGAGAGAGAGAAAGAGAGAAAGAAAGAAAGGAAGGAAGGAAGGAAGGAAGGAAGGAAGGAAAGAAAGAAAAGAAAGAAAGAAAGAGAGAGAAAGAAAGAGAGAGAGAGAGAAAGAAAGAAAGAAAGAAAGAAAGAAAGAAAGAAAGAAAGAAAGAAAGAAAGAAAGAAAGGAAGGAAGGAAGGAAGGAAAGAAAGAAAGGAAAGAAAGAAAGAGAGAGAAAGAGAGAGAGAGAAAGAAAGAAAGAAAAAAAGAAAGAGAGAAAGAAAGAAGTATGACTAAATCTAAGCATAATGTAGGGGCTGGGAATAATCACCCTACCCAGTGTGGATTTCTGAGGCCCAGTTAAGTAAGAGAGATACTTTGCATCCAACCCCTTGGGAAGAATGTGGGAAACACTCAATGATCAAGTGTCTGCTACTATAAGCTTGGGAATTACCAAATTTTTAATTTCCCCTCCTCAAAGTATACAACATTGGGAAGATCAGATATGGAGATCAGGACTGAGAGCTGAGAGGGTGGGACTATAAGTGTGCACTCATGCATCTGATGGGTAGCTAGGTAGCACTATAGATAGAATGCCAGGTCTGGAGTCAGGAAGACCCGAGTTCAAATCCAGCCTCAGATTCTTAGTAGCTCTGTGACCCATGGCAAGTCACTTCACCCTGTTTGCCTCAGCTTCCTCATCTGTAAAACGAGGTGGAGAAGGAAATGGCAAACCACTCCAGTATCTTTACCCAAAAAAACCCAAATAGGGTCACAAAGAATCAGACATGACTGAATAACAACAAATCCTTCACCTCCGCATTCAGAGCATGGGCCTCACCGTTTTTAGTTCATTTTGTAGTTGATGATTTAAATTAACCGTCCCCTCCATCTGGGCCTGTAAGAATACAATCTTTTCTTCTTTCATGGCTAGTGTTGTTCTGAGGGCTGATTCATTTTTGTTCTCCAGGAGTTTGTATTTTCTGAAATCAGAGGGTACAATAGCATTACATCCTGCCTCACTCTAGTTTATAAAGTGAGCTCAATAGGAAAATTTCTCTCTCGGTCCTTCCTCCCCCGATCTCTTGCCACCTTGGCTCCCAATCTCACAATTACCTACGTTTCCTTCCTCCCATTGGCCTGTGTTGCACTATTTGATCCTTGTGAAACAAAAGAAGGCCTAAAACTCACGCTGCAGAGCCCCCTAAGCTGATGTAAGGCGGGTGTGTATTGGTGATTCAGATCTCAGACAACGATTAACAGCATGGGCCTGGACAAAACATTTAACCTACAGGGGCCTCAATTCCCCCAGCTATAAAATGAAGGGTATGGACTTATATTCTCTGAGGTCCATTCCCAGCTCTACATCTGTGACCCTCTTTACTGCTCACTTTATTACAATTACAATTCTTATTATTCTCACAATTCTGATCTCTGGGTATCATTTTTCTCATCTGTAAAAACAGCTGGCCTCAGGATAGAGTCCTAGACTTGGAGTCAGGAAGACTTAAGTTCAAATCATGGTGTGTGAACCTGAGCAAATAATGTAAATTCTCTAGGACAAAGATTCCTTATCTATAAGTAAGGATGGAAGAAAACAAGCAGTTATTAAGTTTGTTCTAGGCACTGTGCTGAATACTTTACAAATTATCTCATTTGATCCTCACAACCTTAGAGTTTTTATAAATTATATAAATATTAATTTTGTTTTAATAATAATAATAATAATAATAACATTTATATAGCACTTATTATGTGCCAGGCACTTTGCTAAATGCTTAATAATTATCTTAATAATTAATAATTATTTTATTTGATGTTCACAAGAATAGTAATAGCACTTACAGCATTTATATAGCATTTACTCCATACCAGGCATTGTGCTACGTAATCATTATCTCATTTGAACCTCACAACAACCACGGAAGGTAGATGCTAGCTGTTATTTATCATGTTTTATAGTGGAGGAAACTGAGGCAGATTAAGTGACCCGTCCAGGATCACACAGCAAATTAACTGTCTGTAGCTGGAGTTGAACTCAGGCTTTCCTTACTGCGGATTCAGGGGTCTATCCACCGCAACACGTAGCTGCTCCTAAAACGAGATGGGTCAGACCTGACAGCTTCTTGAGGTCCGTCCCCGGCTCCAGACCTGTGATTCTATGCCCAGGTCACAATTCTAGCTCCATTACAGTTCTTGATATGCCCAAGATATGGAGCCTCCTTTCAAGCAAGATTATTTTGACAGTTAGTGTTGCAGGATGGCCAGGTTATAAAGCTGTCACACCAACAATTAAGCAGAGATTTTAACGGGCATTTAAAATTCCAGGCTATTTATTTCTGGGCTCACTTGGAAGGCCCTGGAGGTGGAAGCTTCTGTTTATATGGAACAGGCTCACAGAGCCCTCTGACCTTGCTGGACAAGCGCCTGAAAACAAGAGCTCCCATTTCCATAGCACCTTGAGGTTTACAAAGCGCTGTCCCCACAGCAAAGCCGGCGACGAGAGCCACGCTCATATTTTTTTTTAACACATGCCCTAAAAATCAAAACACGAGGGAAACAAACATGCTGGGCGAATTCTGTGCGACAGATATATTAAGCTCAGACTAAACAGCAGAGGAAGCCGCTACGGGAGCTAATTTCCTCACTTGTCATCGTTGCTGTTATCATCCTCCAGCAGGGGCCCTTTGTTCAGTCCAACTTTTTCCAATTCTTGGCTCAGCTTGTCCCGCTCGCTGGACAACTGCTGGCTCTTCAGTTTCTCAAGGACCAAGTCCTGCAATAACAGCATTCACATCATTAACCAAGTAATAGAAGATACAAAGCAAGATGGGAGATTCACATATTAACCCGCTGTAATTCTAACACACACGTACACACACAAAAACGCGCGCGCGCGCAGGCGCACCAACTTCTCAAATTGAGATGGATTTGGATCTCCTACTCTGACTTGACAGATAAAATAAAGGCAATAATACTGTCTCATATCCCCTCCCCACCCCCAAATTGTGGCCAAAAAAGGGGAGGGGGGATTTTTCCACTGTCCTCTTCTGATCCCGTGTCAACAATTTTGATTCAAACTAAGGTAAAACTTCCTAATAATCAGAGCTGCACAAAGAATGGCCTTGGGGAGGTCACCCTCCAGTGGAGGTCTTCGAGCTGAGATGAGTGATTACTTACTGAGGTCAGCATAAAGGGGGTCTGAACCTGAATTTACATGTACTTGAACTTCTGTTCCAGTACACATAAACCAGATGACCTCCGAGGTCCCTTTCATCTGAAGTTTATGGTGAAAATAACTTGGTGATATTTACTAACTAGACTATAAGTTCCTTGAGGGGAAGTATTCTATCTTATTCATCTTAGGACACACTGTTATTATTGCTGTTGGTTCAGTCATATTCAACTCTTCATGACCCCATTTGGGTTTATGTTTTTTGGCAAAGATACTGGGCTGGTTTGCCATTTCCTTCTCCAGCTCATTTTACAAATAAGGAAACTGAGGCAAACGAGATTAAATGACTCGCTCAGGGTCATACATAGCTAATCAGTGTCCAAGGCTGGATGGGAACTCAAGAAGTAGACTCTTCCTGACTCCAAGTCCAGCACTCTATCCACTGGGCTACCTAGCTGTCCCACTGACACACAGTATGCACCTAACAGACATACTTTGAATGAGAACATGGATTTTGTTGACCTTGTTCAGTAAAGGCCATCTTTACATTATTTTATTCTTATCAAAATTATTATGAACTATTACAAATAATAATTTCTCTTATTTCTCTATGTAAATCTCATAAAGGCTAACTGTTTATCACAACATCTCTGTGTCACAGATCATAAAGTAAGTGTCACTATCCCCATTTTAATAAGGAAGCTCAGAGTTAAAGTGACTTTTCAGTAGCCACACAGGTAGCAATTTTAAGAAGTGGGGCTTAAACCTAGGCCTCTGAATCCAAATCTGGTGCTTTTCCCACCATTCATTTATTCAATCAGGAAGTATTAAGTACCTACAGTAGGCAGAATATTAAACCAGGCACTAGGGGAAATATAAAGTTTAGACAGGACTTCTGTCTGCAGCAGAGTTTCCAACCTGGTAGTTCATACGATTGTATCTATTTTTATGTATCTTTTTGTTGATCAGCTAATAGAGATTTTATGCTATAATCCTTCCAGTTCTATTATCTTAGTTTGCTTTTAGTTTTCAAAACTAGGTGTTGAACTTATGATTCTAAGCTTAAAGGCTCCAAACCACTTCATCTCCTGAATAGTTGAATGGTCAAAAAAACATCTACTGACCTAAAAGGTTAAATGAATTTTTAATTGTATGGCCCTGGACAAAACTGCAGAGGAGAGGACAGCACGGCACAGCCCTTGTGATTTCTGCCACATGCAAGCACTGTCTTTAAACATTTCAACGTCTCCCCTTCAGAGGTACATCCCCAAAAGATGAGAGATGAAATAAAATGGTGGAAGAAGTATGCCCAATGGCTTACCTCTCTTAGTGTCGTGAGGGTTCTCATGTGAATAGTGACTTGCTTGGTGAGATCCTTATTGTCCTTTTCTAGTTCTTTCAGCTTACTGGAAGAGTCCTTAAACCGAGCAATTTCTTTTTCTAGTGTTTTGTTTTCTTTCTCGGCAGCTGCTAACTTCATGACGTTGTCATCCAAAATGGCATCCTTGAGCTCTACCTGTTGCCACAATCGCTTCGTCTCCTTATCCAGCATTTTTTTATCTTTCTCTAACTGGGACACTTCCTGCTCCAGAACCTTCTTATCATTTTCAAATCGTTCTAGCTGCTTGTTGGTAATCCTCAGCTCTTCCAGATTCCGATGCAAGGTCTGGTTTTGCGTCTCTACCTCCTCGAGCTCCTTCTCAAGCTCCTGAGTCTTCCTGTTGCTAGATTCCAGAATCTGCTGAAGCCTCAGGTTCTCAGCATTCAGACCCTGGTAACTGAGCTCTAGTCTCTCAGACTTCTTGCTCAGGGCCTTCAACAGCAATATGGTTTTCTGGAGCTCTTCCTTCTCCTTCTCTAGCTCCTTGTTCTCAATCTCAATCTGGGCCATTTTGGCGCTCGTGAACCTCATCGTCTCAAGCATCTTCCGCAGCTCCAGATTCTCTTCATCGAGCTGTTTGTTGTCATGCTCCAGGCCCTCCAGCCGGACGGAGACATTCTGCAAGGTATCCAGAGACTTCCTCAGCTTCCTGTTCTCTACCTCCAGACCCCCGTTTTCATTCTCCAGCGCTTCGACTTTCTCGGTGACCATTTTCATGGACGTCATTTTTTGGGCCAACTTTTCATTCTCCCTTTCTAGCCGGTGCAGTTCCTTCTCCATCGTCTCCAGCCGTTCAACCTTCTCTTTGACGTGCTCAAAATCCTTGTGCAGCTGCTTCTTTTCAAACTCAGTCTTGTTGAGTTTGCTGCTCATCTCTGTGATGGTTTCGTGCAGAGATCTGTTTTCCTTTTCAATGTCTTTTACTCGAGCTTCATTACTGACCTGAGATCTTTCTCTTAAGGACCAAACCAGCTGATTGAGATGGTCTTTTTCTTGTTCAAGGTCCTTTATCTACATAAAAACACAACCAAAAAAAAAAAAGTAATCCAAGACAGATTAGTTAGCTACTAGCCAGCACTTACATGGCTCTTTTTTGGTTTCCAAAGTGCTTTATAAATATTATCTCATTTGATCCTCACATTAATCCCTGGGAGGTAGGCACTTTTATTCTCCCTATTTCGCAAATTAGGTGATTTAGGTAGATGGAGTTAAATGACTTCCAGCTAGTAAGTATTTGATACTGAATTTGAACTCGGGTCTTACTCACTCTAGGTCCATCATTCTCTCTACTGTGCAACATAGCTCTCTCAGGTTAAATAGGATCACAGATCAAGGGTTAGACGGGATCTTAAATGTCATCTAGTTCATCTCTCTCATTTTTACAGATAAGGAAACTGAGACCCAGGGAAAATAAGTGATTTGCCCAAGGTCATATATAGTTAATATAAAAAGTATGATATGAACCCAAATGTAAGTTGAAATTAAATGCCCTAGAATTTGGTACTGATGAGGCCATTATAAATACCAAACACCCAGACTGAATTCTGGCTTACTCTTTTTTTTTTTTGGCAAGGCAACTGGGGTTAAGTGACTTGCCCCTAGTGAGTATCATGTGTCTGAGACTGGATTTGAACTCAGGTCCTCCTGACTCCAGGGCTGGTGCTCTATTCACTGCTCCACCCAGCTGCTCCTGTAGCTTACTCTTTAAGACAGAAGGAGTTCTCAACCTGGGGTCTGTGAAGCTTTCTTTTTTACTTTGTTATAACTATATGAATAATAGTTTCCTTTACCAATTAACATTGAATAAGCAGCTATGTTGCAGGCACTGTGCTAAGCACTGGACACTTACTTTGCCCCATAAGATTACTTTGTAATCTCATGTGTTTTATGTAATTAAAAACATTATTGGGGCAGCTAGGTGGCACAATGGATAGAGCACCAGCCCTGGAATTAGGAGGACCAAAATTCAAAGCTGGCCTCAGACACTTACTAGCTGTGCGACCCTGGGCAAGTCACTTAACTCCGATTGCCTGGGAGGAAAAAAAAAGATCATTTTGACCTGGAGTCTATAGGCTTCACCAAACATAAGACATAAGAAAAAGTTAAGATCCTCTGTAATAAGGTAATATCTATATCCTTAAAGAAGGGTGAACTGAGAAAATCACGGTGGCACAGTAGACAAAGCAATGGACCTGAAATACGAAGACCTGTGTTTGAATCCAGCCTTGGACATTTTAACTAGCTCTGTGACCCTGAGCCAACCTACATCTGCCTCAGTTTCCTCAAATGTAAAATATGGATAATAGCAACTATCTCTTAAGAGTTCCATGAAAAATATTTGTAAAGTGCTTTGCAAACCTTAAATCATCATACAAATGCAGCCAATGATGATGATGATGATGATGATGATATAAAGGGTTAAAATACTTTCTCACCTGAAAATCTAACAGTTGAGAAAAGGGTCTCACCTCCAGATCCCCAGTAAATACTGCAGATCACTAAAACTCTCCATTGGCTTTTGCCAAGTCACAAGTGAACATATGACATTAACAGGGGGCAAAGGGAACCAGCTAACTTGAGACACGAGGACGGTACCTGTCTGTCTTTATCCGCCTTCTGCGTCTCCGTGTCACTCTGAAGCTGCTCCTTCTCTTGGATTAGCTCCTCGCTGAGGGCCTCCAGGTCCTGGTTACTCTGCTTCTCTCTTTCAAGCTGAGTTTGTAACTTTTCAATCTTCAGCAAGTCCAAGAGGCAAACAAAAAGAAAAAAGGGAGTCATTATTAAAAAATGCACCAGCCCGTCAAAAACCTAACCAAGTTTCCTTTCCAGATCAATACCGCAGTACTGATGCTTCCTAATGAGACCCAGGGGCAGCGACGGGTTGCAGTGTCAGGAAGACTCATCTTCCTGAGCTCGAATCCTGCCTCGTATCTTTACTAGCTGTGTGACCCTGGGCAAGTCACTTAAACTGGTTTGCCTCAGTTTCCTCATCTGCAAAATGAGCTGGAGAAGGAAATAGCAAACCATTCCAGTATCTGCCAAGGAAACCCCAAATGGGGGTCATGAAGAGGCGGAAAAGACTTAAAATGACTGAACATGACGAACCTCATGAATGTTTCTTATTAGTTAGGTGGCACAGAGGATAAAGTGCTGGGCCACAAGTCAGGAAGATCTGACTTCAAATCTTGCCTCAGACTCTTCCCATCTACATGAATCTGGCCAAATCACTTAACTTCTGTTTGCCTCGGTTTCCTCAACTGTAAAATTAGGATCACAATAGCACTACCTCCTAGGATCAAATGATATAATATTTGCAAAGCACTAAGCACATAATAAGTGCTTATTACCCTCCTACCCATGCAGACTGTATTTATAATAATTAGATTATTATTGTCTTATTCTCCCATATCATCATCACATAATTGTGGACATTTATGTAAAAATGTATATGTACAAATCACTAGATATATCACTGTGTTCTACCCTTACAGCAACCTGTGAGATAGTCAGGGAAGGTATTGCCAGCCCCATGACCCTAGGTAAGTCACTTGCCCATACACTTAGCCTTGGTTTTGTCATCTGCAAAATGGGGATAATAACAGCACCTACTTTACAAGGTCGTGTAAGGATCAAATGAGAAAAGACACGTAAAACACTGCATAAGCCTTTAAAAGCTAGTAGAGGCTCAGAGAAATGACTTGATGGAAATTATCATATAGCAGCTAATAGATTCTAGGCAACTGTCATTTAAGTCTCCTCCTATCGAGATCTATTATTCTTTTCAGGAATAAGGGCCTTCCCTTTGAACTAATATCTCAATTCTTCACATCTTTTTTATAAGTTACTTTAAAAGGTCTATTACTGTTCAATATAAAGAAATAACTTTCTAATGATGAGATGTAAAAAAAATAAAATAAATAAATGCTCTGATTCCTCCTGAGGAGCTTCTAATGTTAATCCCAACTTAGGCAGTGAGTTCCCCAATAAATTAAGTGTTTAAGAAGAGAGAGGATAGCTATTTGTGAACCATATTGTACCCCACTAGAAGGCTTCTGAAGTCCCTTCTCAAACAGGAGAATCTACAGTTCTTCTTTCATTCTATCCAGACTAACTCAGACTTCCTTTGTCTAAGGGGGTATGCCAACCTCAATGGCCTTCCTCAATTTCTCAAGCATTAAGCTTCTAAGATCAACACTCTCTAGACGGCTAGAAGGTGAGGAGCATGTCCCTGTGGGTTTTTAGCATCTGCCTCTGCCCCTTCAGGTGGACATCTAACCAGTCCTATCAGTGGTCTTGCCTACCCTCTCTGATCTGCAGCCACTCCCTAATTCTTTCTGAACCACCCACATACTACACTTTGCTGTTGAAGAACCGAAAGCCAAGGGAGGCCAATGCTATTTCCTCCCTTTTTCAGTTTATCACCCTTTGGGGTTTAAAAATGTGATTTCATCTGTAATCAGGCTTCCTTGCTGCCGTTGGCAGCTTTTGGTTCTTTCCCCTCGCCCCGCCCTTTACCTCCCCATCCTTTTATGGTCCTCTGCCAGAGTCCACATTCTGTTGTGTAGACCACAAAGCCCCAGAGAGGTTTGCTTTCATTTCGGGTAATGAGTGTGTTGGCTGTTCTCCTAAACTTAGGAAACATTAATTTCTACTCAACATGCCAGTGCCATTCCATTACAATGATGAGATTTTGGGTTTTCCTTAAATCACCTGATCTGTCTGTCTAGATCACATAAGTATTTGGTTTTATGTTCCCAGAGGCTACTGGTGGTAAAAGAAAAAAAACCTCTCATTAATTTACCTAAAAGTTTCATCTATTCTAAAAAAAAAAAACTGTCCCTACACCCAATCATACCCTGGCAGCTTGATCCTGTCAAGACATGAACTAGGGTATGTTCTAGCACTTCATGCCAGGGGGTAAGACTCCCAGTGCCCTGCTGACTTTCCTGATCTTCTCCTGCCCCACCTCCCACCCCAGTGCGGCCCAGGACCTTCTCCAGCTGTAGGCTGGTCACCCATTGGGTTTATCTTTCCTCTACCCTAGAGATATTAAATCTACAGTCAGATTGAAAGCTGGATGACTTGCTTTATCCAAAAGTGAAGTGGGCAGCAATGACTAGAAAGGAATATGTAGGCCAGGCATCAACAAAGAATGAAACAGTCTTAAGGCAGTTAAAATATTCACCAAGATATGCACAGCATGGGTGGGGCAGAAGTTAAAAAAATTTTTTTAATCAATTGATTTATTTTTCTTAAGATAATTTTTGAAGCACAGTTAGATCCGGGTTGGTTGTGTCCTGTCTTGTACCTGGGGGCCCAAGTATGGAGGAGAAAATTAAGTCAGCCAACAGTTAAACTGATGGGACAACAGGCACCAGGAAAGCCTGGCTCAGGCCTGGGCAGGCCAAAGCCCCACAGAGAGCAACAGGCCTGCAATCAAGAGACACAAGCCTCAGTTTCCTCATACATAAAATTAGGATCCGACAGCACCTCCCACACAGAGGACCAAAAGACAAGATCTACGTTAAGTATTTTACAAACCTGAAAGTGCCATATAAATATTGGCTATCATCGACTCAACACTCGCTTGTTTATGAGCTTAATAACTTATACTTACATGTATTTTTAAGCAGAGGTTCCTAAATTTTTTTGTGTCTCTGACCCCTTTGGCCCTTGAGTCAAGTCCATTCTCAGAATTATGTCTTTATTTATTTATTTATTTATTTATTTTTTTAAGGCAACTGGGGTTAAGTGACTTACTTAAGGTCACACAACTAGTAAGTGTCAAGTGTTTGGTCCGAGGCCGGATTTGACCTCAGGTCCTCCTGACTTCAGGGTCGGTGCTCTATCCACTGTACCACCAAGCTGCCCAGAATCATGTTTTTAAATGTATGAAATAAAATACACAGCATTACAAAGGAAACCAATTATAATGAAAGAGTTCTCAAAGTATTTTGTAAAATCAAGTTCATGGACCCCAGGCTAAGAAGTCCTACTTTAAAGTTTGCAAAGCACTTTACACATAGATCATTTCACTTGAGTTTTAGAAAAACTCTGAGATAGGTATTACATGTATTAAGGTGGAAAGAAAGGGAAAAAGCATTTATATAGCACCTACTATATGCCAGGCACTATGTTAAAGACCTTATAAACATTATCTCATTTGATCTCACAACAGCCCTGCAAGGTAGGTGCTGTTATTATTCCCATTTTAACAGCTGAGGAAACTGAGGCAAATAGAGGTCAAGTGACTTACCCTAGGTCCCATAGCTAGTACATGTCTGAGGTCACATTTGAACTCGGGTCTTCCTGACTCCAGGCCTGGAGCTCTACCTACCGTAGAGGCACCTAGCTGCCTCAGGATGTCCAGTTTTACTTCCTTCATCCCTTACTGAGCTATGCCCTTGATCTTTTTCTCCACCATGTCCTAGAAGCCTCCTCACCCTGGAAGATGTCCCTGTCTCTGTGACCCTTTTCTTTGATGTGAGTTCTTCCTGGAACCTCCATTTTAAGGAAGGCCCCAGGCCAGCCAAGTTGATTCCTTCATTCCCCTCCCAGTTCCATTCTTGGCTCTCTAGATTTCTTTCTCTACCAAGTTCCCTAGGGTACCTTCTCCCCTACCCTATCCTTTGGGGACTCTTTTTATGTACCATCTTCCCCTATTAGAATGTAAGCTCCCTGAGGCCAGGGGCTGTTATTCTGTTTGCTGAAGTATTTAATAAATGCTTGCTGCCTTGTTGATTTTTTACAGATGAGGTTCAGAGATGTTAACTGACCTGCCCATAGTCACACAGCTAAATATCAAAGGCAGAATCAGAACTCACACCCTACTGGCTCTCCAAGAACAGGCAGCTATCTACAATTCACCCTGAAAACAAATTCCTCTAAGGCTGTTTCCTCATTTGTAAAATGGGATAAATAACACTTTCACTACCTATCTCAAGAGGACTGCAGTCGTATGCATGGTAAATCTTGTGGAGGAGCTACCTGCCTACCTTAGCCAGGCTGGGGAAATCACCTTTTAACATTTGCTGATTTTTAAGACACACTCCAGCAAGTGGGTAATCCCCTTTTCCCTACGAATTCTGCCAAGGCAGCGTATCCTGATGGCTTTACTTTAAACACTGTTTTTTTTTTCTTTGACAATTGGAAAGGCCAGATGGAATGCTACCAGAAAGTGGAAAATGGGAGGGGGGGAACCCTCTGGGGAAGAGAAAAACCAGAGAATAAGAAGGCGCTCCAGCCAGCAATGAATGCCAATTCCTGTTTGTACAGGCAGGAAGGGCTATATGGAAGGTGGCATATGAGGGCAGTAAAAAGAACAATGGGAAACTGGAAGGGGAAAAAAAGCATTTCCTGAGACCTACAGGGAGGACAATCTTTAGTCACCTCCATATACTAGCATTACCTTCCAGTCTTTCAATTAACATTCAATAAACAGCTCAATGGGGCTCCCTGGAACCCTATAATCCTTATCTTCCTAAATGTCAAATCTTCCTTATCTGGAGCAATGCCTGAATGCTTTCTTAATCCAGTCATTTCCTCTAATTGGTTAATACGGCCCGTAAAACAAGCCCGATAATTCTGTATTCTCTGTTTTCAGCAGAAGGTGTAAGCAGCAGACACGTGGGACTTTTTTATCCCCTGGAACTGAAAAGAAAAACCTGTGGGCAGCTGAAACTTTAGGTACAAAAAGGGCAGTTGAAATGGGGGTGGGTAGGCAGCATCCCAGACGGGGAAAACATACTTAGGATGGGCACGAGAATAAAATGATTAGCATGTATTTGTTATCATTATTATTATTAATAATAATGATAGTAGTTATATAGCACTTTTAGGTTTGCAAAATACTTTACATATATTATCTCATTTTATCTTTATATCAACCCAGGGAAGTAGGTGCTATTATTAATCCCATTTTACAAATGATGTAAATAGAGGCCAAGTGACTTGCCTGGGGTCACAGAGATAGTAAGTGTCTTTCAGCCACATTTGAACTCAGGGCTTCCTGACTCCAGGTCTAGCTCTCTATCTACTATGACACCTAGCTAATTCTGCATATCAGCACTGTACTAGGTACCGGAGACACACAAAGACTATAAAATGCAATAGGCAGTACTTGCCCTCAAGAAGTTTATATTCTATAAAAGGAGACCACGTGTATATACATAAATTTATTTTGTAGGTTGTTATTTTATTTTGCTGGAGATCACATTTATAGGTATATAAAATATTTACACACCAAACAAATATAAGGTAGAATGAGATAAAAGAGTAGTGTCCAGGGAAGAATTTAAAAAAAAAACTTCATGTAAAAAGTGATTAAAGAAAGAAAATAAGGAACTCTAAGAGACTGAAGAGAAGAAACACTAGAAATTCTAGACCAAGGGTGGGAACCTTTGGCCTCAAGGCCACACGTGGCCCTCTAGGTCCTCATGTGTGGCCTTTGACTGAATCTAAACTTCACAGAACAAATCCCCTTAATAAAAGGATTTGTTCTGTAAAACCTGGACTCAATGAAAAGGTTGTACCCAAGCACCTAGAAAGCCACATGTGGTCTCAATGCTATAGGTTCCCCACGCCTATAGTAGACCTAGGAGACAGCCAGGGTAAAAACTGGAAGGAAAACTAGAGAAGAGAATCTTGTGTGAGGAAGAGTAATACGGACAGTTTGGCTGGACTACACCATATGTGAAGGGGAATAATGTTTATTAAGACTAGACAAGTGGTCGGGAGCCAAGTTTTAAAGGGCTCCAAATGCCAAATGGGGTTTGTATGTGAGCCGAGAGTTAAGAGGGAGCCATTGGAGTTTACTGAGTAGAAAAGTAATAACACGGTCCATGCTTTGTGCTTTAGAAAAATCACTTTGGAGGCTGTGTGGAAGATGGAATTGGAGAGGGGGAAGACTGAAATCAGGAAGACCACTTAGGAGGCCGGATAGAGAGAATGGTGACCCCGAGTAAAGAGAAGGAGACAGACCGGGGCGATATTGTGTAAGAAGGGACAAGAGCTGGCAACTGAATGGATATGTGGACTATGTGGAGATGGTGAACCTGAGTGAGGATGGTGGTACCTTGGACAGAAATAAAATGGTAGAAGTTTGGAAGAGGGGCTAAGGGAAAAAAGATAGTGAGTTCTGAAGAATCACAAATATTAGATTTGGGACTTTGGGGAGTATCTAATCTAACCTTTTCATTTTTCTAAATGAAGAAGTTAAAGTCCAAAGGGGTGAGGGCCACATTCAGTGATTGGGTACGACAACTGTTACCTTACTCCTGCACCCAAATCTAAGAAACTACAAAATCCTTTTAGAGCCCAGCCAAGGGGCCTTAGGGGATCATCTTGACCAAGCTATGCATGGGAAAAATGAGTTCATGGTCACACAGCTAACTGATAACAGATAAAAAACTAGAAATGCAGGCTTCAACTCCTGAAGCTAGAGTTTTTCCTATTACATTATACCATTTGGAGAAAAGTACTTTTATGGCAACCTATCTTAACTCTACTAGATGGGCAAACGAAAGAAAATGGTAGGACCAGAAAACAAAGTCGGCCATGAAGTGAACATGGAGAATAAGGAGAAAACAGCTTAAGAGTTGCATTGAGATAGTGAATTAATCCAAAAAGAGGACTGCAGTGTTGGGTAGGTATAGTACCCACAGAGACAAGGACATGAATCGTGCAAGATGAGAAGATATGGAGGAACTGTGATTTCTACCTGTGGAGAGATGAGGATGAAGATGGAGATGAGGATAAGAATGGAGATGGAGATGGGGGTGGAGAAGAGCATAGGGATGGGGATGGAGAAATGGATGACGATGATAATAGCTAGGGTTTATAGTACTATAAGGTTTACAAAGCATTTTACAAATATCATCTCATTTGAACCTCCTATAACCCTGGAAGGTAGTTGCCATTATTTCCCCATTTGACAGATGAGAAAACTGAGATGGTGACTTTCACATGGTCACTCAGCTAGTAAGAAGAATATGAGACTATACTGGAAATCAGGTCTTCCTGACTCCACTAAAAAAAGGAGGCTGCTTACAGCAGTTTCTTAAGCATCCAATAGGAAACTTGGGCCAAGAAGCCCACCCTGCATACACGTAGTTTGGCCACGCCCTATTTCTAACCCCAATGAGCAGTTACATGAACAATGACCACTGTGTCTCACTCTTTCCTATGCGCTTTGAAAATCACTCAACCATTCACCATTTTTACACACAGAATAATACTCACATTTTATATAGTATTTTCATTTTTGTCTCTGTATTCTAAGTGCTTTCAAATATATTAGTTTAACGGTTTAAATATTATAATTAATTATACTAATTAATAATTAAAAATTAATTAGTTTAACAGAACAGTGAAATAGATAAGGCAAGAAGTTTTCATGCCTGTTTTACAGATAAGAAAGCTGAGGCTCAGGAAAGCAAAGCGACTTGTTTAAGGTCTCAGAGAAGGGCTGTGATTAAAATCCAATCTTCTGACTTCTAGTCCTGCTTTTCCTACTTCTGCTGCCTCTTGAGTCTACATTAGCCTTTTATTTATTTATTTATTCATCCATCCTTTTATTAAAGTGATTTCTTCTGTGAAGTTTGGAGTCAGTCAAAGGGCTGCAATTGAGGACCTAGATGACCACATGTGGCCTTGAGGCTGCAGGTTCCCTACTCCTGGTCTCTAACTTAGTTTTCTCATAGGTACACTCAATCACAAAATAGCTCTTGTCCAACATCTCATTTTTAGTTTTTTTTTTTTTTCAAACATGAGCATCTTTTTTTAATTACTGTTTACTGCATGATCTTATTCACTCCATATCAATTATTAACTGTTCTTACCACTGTGCTGTTATTTCCTGATTTTGTTACACAGCCTTTCCTGGGAACGTGGTACAGGTGATGGCAAGGTTCTTTACTAGACAGCCTTTGTCTTGACCTCTCATTGTCTTGTGGGCTTTAAAGGTCCCACAGTACCTGGCCGGCAGAGCAGAAGGAGGGGGTTACCTTTCGGCTGAGTTGGTGATTTTCTGTTTCAAGCTCCACAAATTTTAATTTGCTTTCTTCTGCAATCAGGGAGGCATCTCTCAGCTCCTGGATGGTGTTCTGAAGGCTCTGATTCTCCTTCTCCAGCTTCAAAATTCGACTTGAGGAGCACTCGTTCAACTCAAACACAAACGACTTCCTAGATGCTAAGAGAAGATTGACAGGATCAGAACTCAGGGCTCTAAAGCATATCCCTGGAGTGCCCTGAATGGAAGCAATTCCACCCCCACTGATATGTGGCTACTTGTCAGAGACAACAAGGAGTACTGAATCAGGCACCTGTCACACACTCAGGAAGACCCGAGTTCAAGTCCTGGCTCTGATACTAACTGGCTAACAGTATGATCCTGGCTGGGCAAGTCATTTAACTCACAAGTGCCCCAGGTCACTCTCTCTGTAACTATAAATTACTGAACAACTGCTGATCTGCATTGGTAGAAGTTCCATCATCACTGAAGAGTTCCCTACATTGCTAAAAAAACAGGTCTGGACATAAACAAATGAATGAATGGATAAATAAATAAATAAACAAACAAATGAATGAATAAATAAAGATAGATAGATTGCTAGATAGAGAAATAAATAAATGGATAAATAAAAGTGAATGAGGGAATGAAACAAAACAAGATCCTAAAACAAAACAAAAATGTGGAAGTCATTATGATAAGGACTGGGGATTTTTAAAAACAGTGAAAAATTATATAGTTTTATATATATATTATATATAGCTCTCAAAGAGCTTTTGTTGTGGGAGGGTAGGGTGGGGCAGTGACGTTAGACACATATACACATGTACAGTGCGTCCCAAAAGTCTTAGTGCAATTTAAAGCTATTAAAACTGGGCAGTTAGGTGGCACAGTAGACAAGAGCACAGGCCTTTCAGTGTGGAAGACCTGAGTTCAAATCTAGCCTCAAGATACTTGCTAGCTGCTGACTGCCTCTTAAAAAAAAATTAAAACTACACTCAGATTTTTGGGATATCCTGCATTAAAGATGAGTAGGCTGGAGTCAGACAATGGAGGGCCTTAAATATGAGCCTAAGGAGCTTGTAAAGCAACGAATTAGGATTTCTGAGCCCAAGTCATGAGTGACAGGACAGCGTAGAACAGGCCTTGAGTACAGAAAAGTTGCGCGTTCAGATCCTACCTCCTATATGGATTAGATATATGACCCTGGGCAGGTCACTTAATGTCTCAATGCCAAAAGCACTGCTCTAAGATTATTATAAACCTCAGAAAAGATGCTGAGGAGCTCACCTGGAGCTCTCAACCTGAAATCACAGATCTTACTTTAAAAAAAATTCGTGAGCGCCCAGCAATACTCAATTAACTGGCCTTTTATGTTTTGGCCTAGGCAAAAGCAGAGAGGTAGAATGCACAGGACACATACAGGGAAGAGGGAGTAGTTCAATATGGCAGGAGCCAGCCCATGTAGAGAACAGCATGAGATAAGACCGGAAAAAGCAGGGGAACATTTGTTCAGACTGTCCCCCCACCCTTATTCCCATGTTCACCTTCATGCCTTTGAATTCCTAGTTTTCTTTGACCATATACTATTCCCCACAGACAGCAATGTAACCAAATCATTTGTGAAATAAAAAAGTTTTAACTAATAATTAAAAATATAAATTAGGATGAAGGGCCTTGAATGCCAGGATAAGGGGTTTGGGCTATATCTGGCAGGCTAAAGTGAGCTTCTGAAGAATCTAAAGCAGAATGACATGATCAGAAATGTGCCTAGAATACTCACAAACATCAAAAATAATAACAGCTAGCATTTATATTGTGCTTTAAAGTTTGCAGACCACTTTACATGTTATTCTACTTGATACTTTGACAACAACCCTGAATAATAGTAGGTCCTTTTATTATCCCCACTGAACAGATGAGGCAACTGAGGCTAGTGAGGTCAAGTGACTTGTCCAGGGTCACATGGCACCTGTCTCTGAACTTAGCTCTTCTTGCCTCCAAACTTACTGCTCTTTCCCATTGATCCATCTAGATAAAATGACCAAAAAAGAGAGAGATGATTTGGTCCATGGCCCCATTTATCATCCTATTCCTCTTAACAAATTCTGAATTCTAGACAAATTGGGATGCTAGCTTTTCTCCAAATTATACACTCTATGCTAAGTGCTTTATAAATATTATTTAATTTGATCCTCAGAACAACCCTAGGAAGTGCCGTTATTATTCCCATTTTACAGATGAGGACACTGAGGCAAACAGAGGTTAAGCGACTTTCCCAGGGTCACACAGCTAGTAAGGCCAAATCTAAACTCAGGTCTTCCTGACTCCAGGCCCAGCGCTCCATCTACTGTATGACCTGACTGTCCCCATTTTTGTCACCATATCCCTTGTCCTTATCTTCTCCTTACTTAATAACCCTTCAATAGACTGCTATAGTCCAGAGATAGAGAACCTGTGGCCTTGAGGCCACATGTGGCTTTCTAGGTCCTTGGGTGCAGCCTTTTTGTTCTGTGAAGTTTAGATTCTGTCAAAGGGCCGCACTTGAGGACCTAGAGAGCCACATGCTGCAGGTTCACTACCTCTGCTACATTCTAATAAAAGACAAGCTTTTTAGCCTGTCATTTAAAGTCCTCCACAATCTTGCACCAGGGTACCTTTCCATCCTTATTATCACTGTCTCAAGTCACATGCAATACATTCTAGCCAAATTGGCCTACAAATACGGTGCCCCATCCACCACTTCTGTGCATCTGCAAAAATGGATGCCTACAATGTATTCCTCCTCCTCATCTTTCCTTTGAGGCTCAGCTCCAGAGCCACCTCTTACAAGGAGCCCTTCCTCATACATTCTTATTTGCTAGCACTCCTACCCCACTCAAATTATCAGGAATATGTACTTATTTGTTATTTATCCTTCTAGTAAAAGATAGATTACTGGAGGATCAGACTCCTTTCTATCATCTTTGTATCTTTAATGCCTAATAGTGTGCCATGCACATAAGAGGCGTTCAAAAATATACTAATAAAGACTTATTAGTAAATTTTAAAAATGCTTATTTCCCTAATAAAAAATTGCCAGACTGGATGGCTTGAATAAGTATCATGCGAATTAAATTTGCATAGAATAAGCACTTAATAAAATGGTTGTTGAACAGATAAATAAATGAATGAGCTTAACAGTTCCCTGTTTCCCCAATAATACATACTTTCAGAATGAATCAATGATCAAGATTTAGACTATGCTCTTCCACAATACTGAAATACTTCTGGTGAATTGATAACCAATATTATTCCTCTGCTGAGAAACAAATCCAAGATTTTCACAAAAAAGAATCCACTTTGTAGAGTTGCAAATACTAAAATACTAATGAAAAATACTAAATCACTGCTATCAGTGGTGACTATGCATATGTCCTTTTTTAGAACCTTCTATCACTGGTTTGGTGCTAGTGCTTCCTAGTGTAATTCTGAGTCCTTGTTCATAAAACCCTTTCCAACAAGAAGGCTTTTCCCCCTGGGAAATTCTTCAACGGGAAATAGTGTATATGGAGAATAAGTTGGGAGGTGTAGGCAAATTATCCAACAATCTGACAGACTACTGTGCATGCTATGTTTTAGGCTTTCTTTGTATCATAAGTATTTAGCATAGTGCCTGGCACATAGTAAATGTTTAATAAATGCTTGCTGATTTGTGCAAAACAAGAGAAACACCCATTTGGTATATCTCAGAGAGTGGGAAAAAATGGCCGACATCTTTTTCCACTTTGGCAAATATATAATGGGCATAAGAATGCCCAAGGCACAGGCTTCAGTGGGGGAAAATGGTGATTTGGGAGCTTCCTTTGCCATCAAGTACTCTTAGCCATTCATAAATCTGCTTAAGATGGCCTCTGGGCGCCATGCTGGCTTACACTCAGAATGCCACGGAGTTCCCATAGGGAAAGGAAATGACATAGTGACAATCCATATTTCTCACTCCAGAGAAAAGGCTATTGAACTTTTTATTTTCAAGGGGTGGGGAGGGAATAGACAGAGACCACTCCAAGTGGCATTTTAAAGGTAATTAGGTCTTTGGGGTTGAATTATCAGGCTTAGCTGTGGACTCCAAGGGAAATGATGTCAGACTTAGTTCCATGGGATGGAAAGGGAAAGGACAGTGAAGACTGAGTCACTGCCTCCTGGGTCTATTTACCATCTGAAAGGTCAGCATTCTTGGATAGCTGTTCCAACTCCCAGCCCAGGTGCGCAGATTCATTCATACTCTGCTTCTGAGCGATCTCCAGGACCATGTTTTCTTCCAAAAGCTCTTCAATTCGCTTCTTATCTGTGTCCCTGTCCTAGGGAAGAAGGAAGAGCATAGGGAGGGACAGGATAAAACTCAGCAAGTGCAGGGACCGGTCCCTCGCATTAACAAACCAGCTGCTCCTGGCAGGGCAGAAGCACAAAACATTTCATGGAGGATGTGTCATGACAGCTTCACGAAAAAAGGATGTAGGGGAAATTCAGGTGGTATGAAAACAGAGGATATCAACAAAAAGTCATTAAAAGAAAAGGGTGAAAGATGCGCAAGAACTGATGCGTTTGTCAAAACTTAGATGTGCATCCCTATCAAAAAATATGCAGGGAAAGAACCCTGCTAGAGTAGACACAGCAGTACCTGCAAGTGACACCATTTAAAAGAAGAACAGTGCCTCATTTCCAGGTAATAGTAACTCAGATTTCTATGGTACCTTATAAGTTTGCAAAGCACTTTCCTTCCAACCACCCTGGGAGGAAGTAGTACAAAAGCATCATCAGCCCCACCTTACAGATGAGGAAACTGAATCCCAGAGAAGTGAAATGACTTCTACTTAAACAGAAGCATTTCTTGAAGACAAGGAGGATTTTTGCTCTTCTCTGTATCCTCATCCCAGTACTCAGAATAGAGACGGAGACAGAGACACAGAGAGAGCCAGACAGAGAGACACAGACAAAGACAGACAGATAGACAGAGATGGATAGAGACACAGAGAGACAGGGAGAGAAACAGAGACACAGACACAGAGAAAGAGAGAGATGGAGAAAAAGAGAGAGAGAGTAGCTATCTCTTATTCGAAAAACATGAAATGCAAAAAAAAAGCACCTTGTAGATGAGTGCTATTACTGTCAGAGGTCTACATCCTCTATTAAAAAAACAAAACAGCTAAAAAAGCTGAAGAGATTGTCACTCCTGAAATATAATTTAATAACAAAGCTTCACTACCAGCTCCACATCATGAAGTTTTGATTTCAGCTGCAAATTTTCCTTTTCCAGCTCGTGGACTTTATCACCTCGGGCTCGAGCGGCTGTCAGCTGTTCTTCCAACATTGCCTTGGTTTCAATTAGGATGATGTTATCTTCTCTCAACTCCTAGACAGTATAAACAAACATAATGCATTTAGGTAAAATAACTTCTTTGTTGAGAACTTTTCCCTTCTGCCAATTCCAGTTATTTAGGCCAAGTGAGTCTAAATAAAAGACAACCAGGCAACAAACACACTGTAGGAAATTTTGTCTATGAGTAACATTTGGTCATTAACAATATCATCTCATTGGATCAATTCAAATCAATTTTCTACATTCTAAAAAATCCAAATTGAGATATACCTTTTTAAAACAGGCATTCATTTCTAACTAGAAAAACTGTGATAAGTTATCTAGAATATTATCATCAGATCACCTAATCATATTATAATCAGATTCAACTACAAATTTATCATGCACCTACTATGTACAAGGTCCTGTGCTAGGCACAGAGCTATAATTCAATCAATCAATCAATCAATCAATCAACAAGTATTTATTAAGTACCTCCTATACAGCTAGTGGTGCAGTAGATAGAATGCTGGATCTGAAACCAGGAAGACTTGTCTTTCTGAATTCAAATCTGGCCTCAGACACTTACTGTGTGACCCTGGGCAAGTCACTTAATTCTGTCTGCCTCAGTTTCTTCACCTGAAAAATGAGCTGGAGAGAAGGAAATGGAAAACCACTCCAATATCTTTGCTAAGAAAACCCTAAATGGGGTCATGTAGAATCAGACATGCCTGAAAAGACTGAACAACAATAATAAATGCATATTCATTGAATGGATGAAATAATCCTTACTTGTATTTATTTACTCATTTAAGCTGTATGTATTTGTATATATACTTGTCTCTTCTATTAGAATATAAGCACAGTGCAAGTTGGGATTACTTCATTCATTCTTTAACTCAAACACAATGTGGTTTGGGAGGAAAAGCACTAGCAGCTAAGGGAGATGAGGAAAGGTTTCATGCAAAAAAAGGTATCCATGGGGCAGCTAGGTGGCGCAGTGGACAGAGCACCAGCCCTGGAGTCAGGAGGACCTGAGTTCAAATCCAACCTCAGACACATGATACTTCCTAGCTGTGTGACTCTGGGCAAGTCACTTAACCCCAACTGCCTCACTAAAAAAAAAAAAAAGAAAAAAAAAAGGTATCCGAACTGCACCTTAAAAGAAGAGAAGAAGGTCTATGACGCAGAGATAAGGAGCAAGTAGATTTCTGGCTCATGGGAGGCCACTGCAAAGGGAAGGACTTTGGGGATGGATTACTGTATATAAGGATCAGAGAGAAGGCCAGTTTGGCTGGATAGCAGACTAGAGGAAGAAAGAGTGATGTACAGTGAGGCTGGAAAGATAGGTTGGGGCAGACTCTGTAGGCGTTCAGAAACCAAGCGGAAAACTTGGTATCTTATGAACTTAGGACAGCTAGGTGGGGCAGCTCTGACCTGGAGTCAGGAAGACCTGAGCTCAAATCTAGCCTCAAACACTAGCTTTGTAACCTCTCTGTGCCTCAATTTCCTCATCTGTAAAATTGGGTAAATAATAATAACATCCAGGGTTGTCATGAGGGTAAAATGAGATAATATTTGTAAAGTGCTTAGCACAGTGCCTGGCACATAGCAGCTGATATTTAAATACTAGCTATTACTTATCCAAAAGGCAATATGAAACCATTGGAGTTGGCTGAGTAGGGGAGTAATACAGTTAGGTCTGTATTGAAGGAAAATTGTCTAGGTAAGAGGGTGTAGGATGGTAGATGGGGTATCATGTGTGAGAAAAAAAGACTACCTGAATGTCTGTCCTTAAAGACCTAAGATTATAATAGGAGAGGGGAAGAGGAAAGAGATGATAAGATACCTTTAATCATAATGCAAGTTAGAAAATAATGAAGCACACAGGAGGTTTAAATAAAGTAGGTAGCCTTAGAGATTCAAGGAAGCAGTTGGCACTAAAATACCTATTCGGTCCATCTTCCTTTTTCAAAGTGGATTTTCTAATGCCACATTTGTGCCTTCAGAAAATTAAAAGTTCTCTGCCTTGAAAAATTCTCATTCTCCAGCAAAGGTAATGCCCCAAAATCAAACACAGCAATTCTGCCTGCCCCACAGAGACCTAAGAGGGTAGGGGTACATTTGCCACTTTAGCCCTGTGACCAACTGCTAAACAAATCTGAAGGAAACAATTGTGCTCTCGCTTCACATCACTGCTGCACTCCACATTAGAAGGGCCCACGGAAAACTGTTTTCATTTTCTTTGTATTTACCTTTCACCATTCTGAAAAGCCATTTTGGGGCCCTGCAAGAATGCCCCCCCACGCCCTTGAATGCCTTCAAGCACGCACTGGGAATCCGGACAGTCTTTTCTGGGTGGACAAGAAGCCTGTTATTAGTTTTTCTACCCCCTTACTCTCACTGATTATAATACAAAGAACAGGGTTAGGTAGGTCATTCATATCCTGCAGCTGGCTGGTTGCCCACAGAGATGCAAGAAAAATTGGCTGGGGCACACTTAGGCCGGAATCCAAAAGGACTGGTGGGAAAAAAAAAAAATCACTCCCTTTGGTCAATGGGCAAAGTTGTAATCAAAGGGTAGAATGAAGAACTGTAGATGGTTTGGCTATATCTCAAGAAGGCATTCCCCCAAATGGGGTCAAAGGTGGGGAACTATGGGTATGGAACATTGTGGTTAGTTTTATTAACCTTTTTTTAAATTTCTTTTTTTGTTTGGTGTTCTAAGGGATAACTCTCTGAGAAGGGGAAGGAGGAAGAGAGAGATGGATTGGGAAATGTATCTGATCTAAAACTAAAAGGTAGCAATAAAAATTTATTAATTAAGTCAACTAGAAAAATCAACTAATTAATAACTCCAAAACAAGCACAAAAGAAGAAAATCAGAGAAGCAGATAAAATGGATCAAAAAACTGGAACTGATAACTGAAAGAAGTTGTTTTTAAAAATACTAAGAAAAAATTATAAACCATTGATTATTTTTAAAAAATCAATCAGTCAAGAAGCATTTTAAAACACATATTATATACCAGGCATTATGTTATGCAATATAGAAACAAGTACAAAGAAAGAAACAATTCCTACTCACAATGAAGTTACATTCTAATGGGGGAGTTAATAAATAAATAAATTGGGGTGTGTGTGTGTGCGTGTATGAATATATAATACACATACATACACACATATATACATAAATATATAATATCTATAGTCATGTTAATATTTATGTGAGATATATAAGCATATAAATATATGTATAGATACATGTACAGGTATGTGTGTATATACATACATATGTATACATGCATATAGATAGGTATACAGTATAGGTATGTATGTATATATACATAGACATGTATATGTACACATATAGATATATGTATACACATATCTCACATAAATACTAAATTAATAAATTCAAGTAAATACTTAGTAGTTAAATTACAAGGTAGTTTGAAAGGGAGGGCACTAGCTATTAATGGATCAGGAAATATGTGATATAGAAATAGTGTTTCAGCTACATCTCAAAGGAAGAGAGAGACACTCAATGAGCCAGAGACAGAATGAAGCACATTTCAAGCAGGTGGTGCAGCCAATGCAAAGGTGCGGAGGATAGAGATGAGTGTTGTGCATGAAGAACACAGGCAAAACCAATTTGGCTGGATGGGGATGCAGGAAAGCAGAGCAATGGCCAGTGTGAACAATGTCCAGTGTGATTGAACAGATATGTTGCTGATTGGGCAGGCCTTTAAAAGCTAAATAAATGAGCTTATATTTTAACCAAGAAGCAAAAGGAAGTCACTGGAGCTGGCTGAGTAGAGAAGTTCCATAGTCAGCTCTATGCTTAAGGAAAATCACTTCGGCAGCAGTGTATAGGACAGACTGTAGGGATCAGAGACTTCAATCAAAGTAACCAATTAGGAGGCAACCACAATACTCAAGAAGAAAAATGGTGAGGGCCTGAACTATTAAGGTGGTAGCTATGAGAGTGGGGAGAAGGGATCACACATGAGAGGTTTTGTGGAGGCAGAAAAAGCACGATTTGGCCATACGTGGGGTGACAGAAGCTGAGGAGTTGAGAACAATGCTGAAGTTATGAACCCACGAGACTGGAAAGATGGTGGTGCCTTTGACAAAAACAGGGATATTTGGAGGAAAGGAAAGATAATGACTTCAGTTTTGGACATGTGGAGTTTGGAATGTCTCCGGGACATCCACTTTTAAATGTAATGTGTAAATGAAGATCATGGGGGAGTCTGGGGCCAGATACACACATACACACACACACACACACACACACACACACACACACACACGTGTATATATGTGTGTATATGTACATGAGCATGCATGTATATATATACATACTCTCTATACACAAATACAGATGTATGTAAAATATATAAACTACATCGATTTAAGAATTAAATATATCTATTTCATTCATTTGCATACATATAATAGTTAAACCTATGAGAACTAATGACATTATCAAGAGAGAATATAGAAGGAGAAGTAAACTACAGAAGAATCTTGGGGAACACGTATGGCTGGAGGCAGCATATGGATGATGAGTCAGGAAAAGAGACAGAGGACTATCAGATGGGCAGGACAATAACCAATATTGATATAAAATCCTAGACAGTACAGAGTATCCAAGAGGAGAGGGTTGTCAATAGTGTGAAATGCAGCAGGCAGGCTGAGAAGGATTAGAACCTAGAAAAGACCATGAGTTTTGGCAATCAAGAGATCACTGGTAACTTTTCAGAGAGCAGAGCTGTGGAAGGATGAGAATGGAAGCCAGACTGCAAAGGGCTGAAGAATGAGAGAGAGAGGAGATGGAGGAGAGACAGTTAGTGTAGATGACTTTTTCAAGCAATCTGGTTGGGAAAGGAAGGAGAAGTATAAGACAATAAGTTGAGGAGATGGGAAGGTCTAGTGAATGTTTCTTAAGAATGAGAAAGACTTGGGTTATGTTCAAAGGCAACAGGGAAAGAACCAGTATATAGGGAGAAGTTGAAGATGGGGGTAGGGGAATGATTTTGAGAATATAA